TTTAGCCTCTTTTCTTTTTGAGCAGTACCAAACACAATCAGAGTAAAGATAAAACTTTTGATTTTCATACTTGTTCCACTGATTGACTGACTGGCATTATGAATATTGATTAGTATACCAGCCAGACAACTAACAATTTTTTATAGAGGAGGTTAGAATTGGAACTTGTTTTTCTCTTTACAGATTTCTTTACAAATACGAGAATGTAGTAACAAATTATATCAACAGTGGATATATCTTTTGGTGAAAGTTAGGACTGTGCTCTCCCATACTCAATGTTTGTATATATGGCACTGTTTCTGTATTACATCTTGGAAATATATTTGTACTTATTGTATTCCCATGGTAACACAATAAATCATAGCATATTGGCAGCAGATCAATATTAATATCTGTATGTAGTATGCCCATTTACTGTATTTCTATGTAGGGATGATCATTTCTTATTGGTAAAGATAGCAGGAGTTGAGTCTGCCATCGTGAGTGTTAATTAACTTGTATCATCAGAGGGGAGATTGATTTTCTCTGATCTGCAAAAGAGAAGTATATTGGATATAAGTTGGATACACGCATTCCGAAGGGTCTTAATTATGAGTGTGGTGTCACTCATTATTATGAGTGCCGTTTCCTCTTTCTTTTCTTTTCATTCTTTTTTCTTTTTTGTTTTTTTCTGTTTTTTTTTTTTTTTCCCCTCCCCCCCCCCCCACTTTTGTTTCCCCCCAACACCTTTTTTTTCTCCCCCCCCTTTTTCCCTCCCTCCTTTTTTAATTTTCCCCTCCCTTTTTTCCTCTTCGTATCTGTTTTTTTTCTAATTTTTTTATCTTTTTTTTCTTTTCTTTTTGTTCTTTTTTTTTTTCTCTTTCTCTTTTACCCACTAGTGACTGTCTTATTTTGAACCCCTCTTTTCCAAAGTACGGAATATACAGTATATTAATATGCATGTAATTTTTCTTTTGCTGTCCTACATGACATCCCTGATGAGGTTAACAGAGTTTTGATTTGATACATTTTCATTTTTCATATTCATTAATTAATTTTTTATATTTTTCTCCACGCTACAACTGCTTAACACACATTTATCTTCATCACACTTTTTTCATGGATTTCATTCTTATTTTTCATTTTTATTTGTATTTTTATTTTCAATCTTATTCATTTCAATATATTCCTTTCTTTTTTACCTCTTCTCTTGTTAATTTTTTTTCACTTATGATTACAACCATTGCTATTTTTCTAAATCTTCTTTTTATTTTCATTCCATTTTTATTTTAATATTTTATTTTTAATTTATTTTTCTTTTATCATTTTGGTTTGTTTTTTAGTTTTTTTTCTAGTTCACTTTTCACTTTACATGTTTACATCTACACTTATCACTAGCACCTCATTTATTCTTTTCATGGCCAATGATGTTCATAAAAGTTTTTGCCTGGCTCTGTTTCCCTCCTCTGTGACCAAGCCCGAGTTGAGCAACACCTCATCTTTTCTTTTAGATTATATTAAATTGTACGCAGAAGTTAGATGGTGTATTAGACTGAACTTCATATTTCTGTATGATCAGATAAACTTTCTTTACATGCACAGATTCTGTGTTCATGTGCAGTGCTCATTCCACAACATGTGTAATATATCTCATGCTATTACCTCCTAATCATGTGTGTTTTCTTTCATATTTAGGACAGAAAAGAGGAGTATGTGTAAAAATAAATCACTTTCCTGAAGACACAGATTATGATCATGACAGTGCCGAATATCTTCTACGTGAGTCATTTTAATTGTTTTATACATATAGCATTGACATGTGTATATTGTTGTTGGATGCACTATTTTTAATTTACTTTTACATTTTGTACTTATCAAAGCACACTTTAAAGCACCAATTTGAAGAAATTCCTGGTCTGTTTCCAAAGATCTTATTATGTTATGGTGACTGCATAGGCCGAGCAAACTTTAGGAATTTTAGGCTACTGTACTGTACCTGGGATCCAAAGCTGGATCATGTCTAAGTTGAGAACTGTGTTGTCTTTATTATTAGGGTCCTGGAAGCCTTCTTATGCTTTGCTTTTACTATATTCCTTTTAGGAAGGCTTCTGGGTGTGCATATTACTCTATGATGTTGACCGAGGTCATCAAAGCCTTGTTTATTTTTTCATTATTATAGGTACTTATATTTACTCAACGCTTTACATACAGCATATTGTATATTCACATCAATCCCTGCCCTCAGGGAGCTTACAATCTAAGGTCTCTAACTCCCATTCATACATACACATATTAGGGACAATTTAGAAAGGAGACAATTAACCTACCAGCAAGTCTTTGGAGTGTGGGAGGGAACCAGAGTATCCAGAGGAAACCCATTCAGGCACAGGGAGAACATGCAAACTCCAGGCAGGTGGTGTTGTGGTTGGGATTCCAACTGATGATCCTAGTGCTGCTAGGCAAATTGCTAACCGCTTAGCTACTGTGCTATGATTTATTATCTCAGTAGCAATGTTCAGGGGTGTATGATATGGGTCAGTGTAATAAACTTAGTGATATTATCCCACACTGTCATGATAGTACCATATTAGCTGTGTTTAGAACTTGTTAGCATTCAATAAAAATGTTGTGGCTGCTAGCGTTGGTTTTCAAATGCCTGGTGATGTTATAGCATCTGTTCAGTTTCAAGAATGTAGAAGGCAAAGTAAACCCTAAAGCTTCATTTAGCTCGGTTAGGTTAATTCTATATTCTCATAGTAGACCAGTCCAGCACCTGTGAACTCTTCACATACCAGGAGTTCTCATTTTGGCATTCCCCCTAAATTAGGCATTAGAAGATAGTAACTTTCAGTTCAAAATAAATAATGTATCCAAAGTACAGAGCACAATGAAAAGCCAGAATATTACGATTTCTTATATATATATATATATATATATATATATATATATATATATGCTTTTTTTTCTCAGAGAATAGGTGCTGGAAATCATCATAACCCCCCACAACCCCCTCCCCCCCCACACACACCTGCGAAATGACATCAAATAGTAGGTGTGGCCAAATTTCAGAGTACAGAATTCAGGGGTACGTTACACACAGATTGCAGAGTTCAAGGGTGCACTACATACAGAGTGTAGGGTTAAGGAGTGTGCTGTGTTTAAAGTGCAGAGTTAAGGGGCACACTATATACAAAGTGCAGAGTTCAGGGGTACACTACAGAGTGCAGAAATCAGGGCTGCTCTACACACAGAGCACAGAGGGGGGTGTGCTACATACAGAGTGCAAAGTTCAGGGTTGCATTACACGCAGAGTGCAGAGTTCAGGTGTGCATTATGTACAGAGTGTAGAGTTCAGGGGTGCGTTACGTATATAGTGCAGAGCTCAGGGGTGCGCTACACATAGAGTGCAGAGTTCAGCCCTCTTCCACAGCTGCTTATTGCTGCATCCCCCATCCACATCTTACTTTTGCCCCTCTCCAGTTCTGACCTCTGCACACAACCCTCCTCCCACTGCCCTTGTCTCCTCACTCCTTAAAAGCTCCACTAGCTTCCACGTGTATTACGTTTGTTGCTGTATTAAGCTGAAGTGCCCAGCTGGCTCTATTACATCCCTGCACCCTATAGGGAGCTCTGCAACTCTTACTTGCAGGGAGATCATCCAGCGGGGGGCATCAGCATCCGGGCACCAGGGATAAAATAGAAATCACAAAGGGTGCAGCCTACCACACACCCCCTCGCGCCCATGACTGCACTGCACCCTGGACACTTGCATCTCCTGCACTCAGTGGGATCTGCTGAGAAAATCCAATCTGTGGGAGCCTTTGGGAGACAAGCTATCACTTGTAAACACAGAAGCTGGACTTCTGTGTTTGCAAATGATAGTGGTGAGCAGGAAGGAGAGGGCCTGGGCCTAAGGTGGTGGAACTGAGTTCCACCAAGTTCCAGCTGAACAAAAAGTCCTGTATATATGCAATAGGACTGATTTACATTTACTAAAGAATATAAGTGCAACTTCACTTGCAAAGTGCACAGTATATTTGCCTTTAGTAAATCAACCCCATAATGTAAATATTGAACATATTATCTTATCTTCTACACTTACCAGCACATAGATATTCACACTAAGTGAGGGAAACCAACTCTGTGACCCAGTTATTGCCTTCCACAGCGTTGCCTATCTAACACTAGACTCTTTCTTCTAGGATCATACTGTAAAGTTCACCTTTTCAGGCAAAATTTCACTTTTCATAATAAATAGAAGCATTTTCTAATGTCTTTTCTGCCTCATCCATTCCATTGTGCTTATCTCTCACCAATCAAATCCATGAAAGCTTTGAAATTTCTTGTTTCTGTTTGAGTTTTTTTGAAAAATGCTGTCTACTACCATCACTTCCTGTAGGTTATCTCCCATCATGCACTGCCTCCTTGTGCCTGGACCACACCTCCCTCATTACTATACCACCGCTTGTTTTTTTTCCACTCACTTTCAAACTTCTTCCCTTAAGGTGACCATACACATTACAATCTGATTATACAATCTCTTGTAGATCTACCATTAGCATGTATGGATTGTTCAGGTGAGTCCTCTTATTCCATAGTTTTGGTAAATCTAAAGGAAACTGTACAGAAATTGTACAATTGGATTGCATAGTGTTTGGCCATCTTTATACAAGTACATAGGAGGTAGTGGATGGAGACACTCAGCTGTCAGGCTCCATTCACATCTTCATATAGCAGGAACTTATGTTCCCGCACTTTTTTTTTGGGGGGGGGGTTGTTTTAGAGCATTTTCACTCGACATGCATAGGGCAGCCCATTAACTTGAATGGGCTGTGCTATGACCACCAAACACCACAAAGAAGCTCCATAACTTTATTTAAAGTGCTTTTTACCACACTTTTTGGTGTGCTTGCAGCACATGTATCCCATGGCAGATGTGTGCCTGATACCCACGCGTGTGGTGCTATTAACATTTAAAGTTAATGTTACTAAACCCACAACATTAAAATCAGTCTGTATATGTAGTAAAGCATGCTTGTTATACTTACTGTGAAACCTAAGGGGTTAATCCTCTGCATTGTGCAAAAATGCTGTTTGAAACTAACTTCTCTGATCCTCCCCCTTCTTTTTCTGTCCCCCTCTTATCTCCTGATAAGACATATCGTGTGTGGAGTCACTCTGCACATGCTCAGTTTGGTGGGTATTGCTAGAGAGGTTTTTTGGGGGGGAGAGTGCATGTTATCAACACAGGGGCAATCAGCACTGTCCAGACAGAGGTCAGGAGTCTAACATCCTCCTAGAGAAGAATGAAAACTCCTTCTACAAACTTTAACCTGTGCTCTGCTGGAGACCCTGATAGAAGTCAATATACTGCTCTAACTGCTGATGAGAAAAGGTATTTAGCAGTTTATATTTACTAAAATAATTACACTTCCATGTTCTGTGTACTGTTGGATATCAGATATAGTGAATGCAGGATCCTGGGTTTAGTAACACTTTAATGGCACAGGAAATGCATTGCACGTTTGCAGCACTTTTTCAAAACGTACAGCAAAGCACATGTTTTCTATGCAGTTTGACAGAAATGATGATTTTACTATCATGCTGCTGTTCCCTCATTCTCCACTATTACCCATCCACATAAGTCCAATGGCAGAGCCTCTAGGTGCTACTGAGACTGTGGCATTGGACTGTTGGTTTGGAGAAGATGACACTAGGGATTAGAAGCAATGTGCCTTCACTTCAGTAGTAATGTTACATTAGGCACTGTAAAGGATCACGTGCAACAGCTGTTTATTTCGGACTGTCTTGGAAATTCGCTTTAACGAATTTCTCCTTACCGTGAGTACTCGCAGTTGGATGCGCAGAAATCCCCCATAAAGCTGTGTGAATCTCGCTTACCACGACTGTAGCTAAACTACACGATTCCTGCCAATCCAACTACTTTTAGCTTCTGTTGAAATGTGGGGAATTAGAGCTCTGTTACCCTAGAATGATCAAACGACACTCTCAGGATGATGGTTGAATTCACATAAGGCCCGGTTTCAGACTCAGCCCCTGGTTTTATTAAAAATACACACATGCCCCCCACATGAATAAAGTCAATCCCCTCCCACCGAACAATGCAATGGGGAGTGCCTATACACAGGATGTACATTCCGATTGGAGCATAGCCTTTCCTATTATCTATCACTGGTCCTCCCCCATGAGCCTTCTGAGGTCAGCAGACTTCCTCCCCTTCCCCCCCATGAGCCTTCTGAGGTCATATTTCCTGTCCTACTAGCTCCCATTGGCATGCAAATCATTTGTACAAGTATTTTCTAAGCTAAACACCAGTCTGTACCTGGATGGGCCCGATACGATCTTTATTAAAACACATCCATCCAAGATACAGTTTCAAGTTGGTAATGGGTTGTAAGATATGCATAAGCCTACACGTGGAGTTCACACCGCTTGGCGCCTTGCGTTATGAAGCCCATGTGGTACTATGCTGCTGATATGTGGATACAGGCCCACGGTCTACTGCCAGCGACATTCGCATCAAATGCCGTGGTGGTATACACGCCGGTCTATAAGCGCAGATCTGCCATCTCATCCATTACCAAGCTGAGTACTGTAATACATACATTGTACATGCGCATGGCCCAATTGCAGCCTTCAGAGCTTTAATTAAGCCACACGAGAGACATATGAATAACACGAATATATGACACATTTAAAGTTCGACCAACAATACAAAATTTCCATGACAGGACATAAAAGTCTTTATTTTTCTTTAAGGCAAACAGAATATAGCTTCCAGCAGTAAAACAACTTCAGAAAACACAATGTAATAATCTGCTTATCTTCAGCACAAACCAAAATATCAGACATGTAAAGTTCATATAAAGGCTTTACCCCAGGGTTAGCAGCCTCCAGCTTCAGATGTTTGTCAGTTTTCACCATACGTGTAGCACACAGCCAATTCTCCTCTCAACTCCACCCAAAGAACTAGGAGCTTCCTGCCTTATGTGCTGCTTTCTAGAGGCTGCTTTACCCTGTATGGAACGGAGTCCCTGTAGACAGGAGTGGAGGTCATTTTCCCACCTGAATGTCACTCTCGACCTCCAAAATTCCAGGTCCCAAATGAGCCACTACTAATGCAGAGAAGACTGCGAGCCAGTCTTTACTTGACTAACCCATAATTCATCACCCATCATGGGTGAGACCCCTGAGTACCCAAACCATTTCCCTTAAAGGGACCACAACCCAAATATTAGTGCCACATAGCACCAATCCTTGGTGTCCTGTACAGCACTTTTTAGATACTAAATTTTTTTTCTAAAGAGGTTGCTATTTTCTTTACTGGCCACCAAACAGGGAAAATGTTAAAGTGGAAGTAAACCCCTTTTTTCATGTTTTACCTAAAGGTAAGCCTTTAATAAGGCTTACCTCAAGGTACTGTAAATATCTCCTAAACATTCACCTAAACGTGATGTCACCGCTGCATGTGCACTGCGCTTTCAATGGACAGTGTGTCATCCATTGAGAGAGCTGCACCGTGGCCGAAACTCACGCGCATATGTGTGAGAGTGATGTCATCGTGTCTCAGCCAGTCAAACGGCCGCTGCCTGCAAACCCAAAAGGAAGACCTAGTGAAGATGGAAGCCTCGGGGAGCCGTGACAGCGCTCCACTGGAGGTCTTCATTTTCAGGTAAGTCTTTCATAATGTGCTAGTATGCGATGCATACTAGCACGTTATGCTCTTAACTTGCAGGGAGAAGTTTTTTTGATTTTTGTGTGATTTACTACAACTTTAAAGGTGTACTGAGTACATGGAATGTACATGCATTCCTTTCTGTTAATTGCAGGGATTCCTATTAAGACAAAAAACTAGATGCAATACATTGTGACCAATCTTAAAAAAAAAGTAGCAATAACCTTTCTTCACTTCTGACGGTTCTAAGCCAAAATGTATAAACATTGTAACTGAATAGTTTATTTTAATAGAATTTTATGTGATGTCAGTATGTTGAAACTGAATAGTATTGACTCAAGTCAGTGTTTTACACTGCTTTTGACATAGCACTGATGTACTGCATGTTCTTGATTAAACATCTTGAAGGATATGGAAAGCATTAAGCCGTTAGCCTAAGTGCTTTCATTACCTCTTATACTTTTTCCTGAAAAAGAATCAATAAAACTTTCTTTTTTCCTTTATAGTGATGTACTGAATTAGGTCCTGTTGTTGAATTTAGTTTCCTTTGAAGCTGAGAATACTTGATTATTAGGATATGGGTACTCATTTATACTGTACAGTGCAATAGCCAAAAGCCTGTAAGTCTGTGTTCTAAAAGAAAGGTCAATTAAATGTTTTAAGGCAGGTTTAGTCCACTGGCAACATGTTTCATTCAGTCTAGCAAAGTAGTAATTGAAAAAGGTAACAAATTCCAAATGTACTCACAAATCAGAGCTCTGATGAAGAGAGCACAACCCTTGAAACATACTGTATAAGCTACACCCTTGTGGATGGACGTAAATACAGTGCTGGGACAGGCTGGCTATATATGCAATTTATCCTGTACTTTTGTGAAAATTTTTTTACTTATTAAAGGTCTAAAGGTGATGTACTAGGCCCGTGTGCCTTCTTCTTTTTGCTATTGTTTCATTTTGTTTTTCCCAATCTGAAATGAGCAGCAAGGCTGAAGTGAGGTCTAGGCTCCCTATGGTGATTGTCTCATATTTGGATCTACAAGAGAGAAGATAAGCCTTTTCTGAACAGCCATTTAGACCTACATTATTGAGGGTCCTTCCACCTGTAGTGCTGACGGGAACATTTTGTTTGAAAAATCTCTCTTCACAGGTACTATTAGGATAGCAAGAGGAATGGCATAGTTTATAACATCAAAAGAAACAAAAAAATAGTGGGTTCATGTCATGTGTACATCATTATCCATACTATCCCTAATCTAATGACCCTTCCTACCACTCAGCCAAAGAAGGGGGGGGGGTGGGAAAGGTATAAAATGGAGTTTTAGTTGTACCTTATAGAGAAAATAGGCATTTGCTAAAACATATAATACTGGATTTTATTACAAAAGGTTAAAAGATATTCAATATATTATAGTGTGACTATCAATTAATTCACAATCAGTTTTATCATCCCTAGAATACAATAATTTGAATATAGTGCTTGTGATCAAGGCGCTTCTCAGTTAATATGCTTCCTCAGAATACACACCATAAACCGTGTACAGATGATGGTTCCCTGTAAAGGAATCATAACAATAAAAATGTACAAACTTCAAAATTCAACCAGTTATATGTCATGAGACATGTCTCTAATATCGGTAAACATGGAAAGAAGGAGAATAAAAAAACAGCCAAAAATACCACCCCACCCACCACCCCATTTGTACATGGAATCCTTCCAGCCTATGGAAGGGTGCAAGAAAGGACCATGTACAGTAAAAGGGCCAAGTACAGGACATACCTGTTAATCTTGCTAGAAATCCAGTGTCCTGGTCACTTTTTGCTTAAAAGAAGAGTCAAAATACCCTATTTTTATTGTGTAAACTACTAACTGCCATCAATTCACTATGTAATGGGGTGAACAAGACAGACATATTTGAAGTCCAGCCTGGGTAGCAACCATGGCTAGATCGATAAATACAGTGGGGGAGGCAGCATGGCCGGCCAGGAACAGGAAGAGTGTTATCTGCAGGCCTCATTAGGTGAAAAGAAAGGGAAAAGGCCTAAAAATACAGCCATCACAATTAAGCTGCAATAAATGTTTGGTTTTGGGCTTATAAACTGGTTTATTACAACACAGGATATGTACAATAATTGTGACATAGTAAGAAGTGATATTGTCCCGTCTTCTCTGCAGTTATGAAAGGGTTACAGAGGATTACAGGCAGTATAACCTTTGATGTCCACACAGTAAAGAGTCAATGATTGATAACCGATGATCTTTTACTGATAACATGTGACATAATGAGAATGTGAATACGCGGTAAAACTGGAATACAAACAGAATAAACAGACATGAGTACATATCTAACTACCTAGCAATATGCACAACATTCCTCAGTACATAGAAGGGGTACTTACAGACTTTGGGGGTCTAATCGAGCCCATATATGAAGAGAGAACAGCATCCCACATCTACTTGCATAGTAGAATTTCTTCAGTCTGAAGAGATGAGGTCACTTCCTCCCAAGTTAGCAAACAGGAAGTCTCTGGCCTTAAAGGGGAC